GTGGCTCACACCTGTAGTCCCAGCTATTCAGGACAGTGAGATAGAAGGTTTGAGGTTTGGAGTTAGCCCAGGCAGAAAATATCTGCGTGGACATCGATGAGGAAATATGACATCCGTACCCTCCCTGCGTGTCACGGGTGCTGGTGTTGGTGTGCACTGGAGCGCTCGTGGCCGCCGGTGGAACGCGTCTGTGTGCGCGCCAGGACATGACACCCAGCACTAGGCGGTTCCTCCTTGGATCTCCCTCGGATTCCCGAGAGCAGCTTTTTCGCAGCCATCGGCTTTGACCACCCGACGCCGGACGGAGGAGGCCGGGGGACCCTAGGGGCACCTGGCCCCGCGTGTGGGGCGCGCCCTAGCCAGCCGCCCGCCAGCCAGGGAGGACTGGCTAGCATCAGCGTGGACTTTTATAGGGACCCAGCCCTGGTATCCCAGTGGCCCTGGGAAGCAGCCAGGCACCTTCCTCTTAGGACCCAGCTTTTAAAATGGAGCTGGGCTGTTCGCCTTGTCCCCAGGCCTCAGAGTGGCTGAGAGACCATCACCATCACCGGGGTCGAAGCCACTACCCGCCCGGGCTTCCCCTCCCGTGCCCACGCCACGCACACAGTGTGCTTCGCGTTTCTGTCACGCACCTGCCCGTCGTCCACGCGCGGGAGGGAAGCGCAGCCCCGGCCGGCTGGAATCCGCTCGCACCCTGGCTCTGAAAGTTGCCACCCGTGGAAATCGCTCCCCTCGATCGCCAGAAGCTCGGGGGGTTAGGAAGACGCGTGCGGGGCATGGTGTGTTGGTTTCCCTTGGACGCAGAGTCCAAGTGTTCCCGTCACTTCCCCTCAGCGAAGAGCGAGGATGGGCAGGAACCACGCAAAACAAATGCAGGACGCAAACCAGACGCAGGGCCGCGGCTGGCCTGGGCTCCAGGGCGCCCCAACCTCGGCCCGGCGCCCCGTCCATGGGCCGCGGTGCCGAACCCTCCCCGGCTCCCTGGTTCCCCACGCGCGGCAGCCTCCCGAGCCCTCCCCGGCTCCCCACGCGAGGCCCCATCGCTGAATCCACATCACCGGCCGCCCCAGCGACTCAGCCCCAGCGGACGCGGCAGGCCTTCCCGCCCGCCCCGCACGGTCCCC